CAGTGGGCAGGAGAGCAGAGGTGGGCAGCTCTTCAGGGGGCAGGAGTGCAGATCATGGTCAGGCTTCAGGGGGCAGGAGAGCAGAGGTGGGCAGCTCTTCGGGGGGCAGAGCAGTGGAGGTTGGGCAGCTGTCCTGTGCCTTGCCCATGACCACTGGGGCAACCATGGAGAGCACAGAGAAGGAGCAAATGGCTTTTGATAATTCACTGGAGAAACGAGAAGCTTGGCCTGCAGCAGACCTTTGGGCTTCTCCTCAGGGTGAATATTGACCACACGCTTGCTCGTCTGATGCTGGCTGAGCTCTAGGCCACAGCAGCCTGTTTCTCATGCAGCCAGGGCTGTCCCCCTGCTCCGTGCCCCACTGCGAGGGGGACAGCACCATGCCAACCCCTTGGGCTCTGCCCCCAGGGAGGAGACCCACATCCAACCCCTGCCTCACACCCTTCCCTCCAGCCAGTCCCCTTCCCACCGCACCCCGTGGGCTCGCCCAGACGTGGGGGGGACAAGGGAAGGAGCCTCCACCAGGACACTGCCCATCCCAGCCAACGCCTGTGAAAACATGGGCTTGAGATGAGGGGGCAAAAGGTGCAGTTTGGAGCCATTTCCTCCCCTGGGTTGTCAATTAATTTGTTTAGTCCATCTCCCAGGAGCTGCGCCTCAACTCCAGGCACTTAAAGGCTCTCTTGGCTCTGGCTCTAAGTGCTTTGCTGAATCAGGGCCCAGGAGGTCTCGTCGTTCAGAGGTTATTCTCAATTGTATTCATGTGCTCTTTTTCCCTTGGCTTCCAACAAAGACTTGGAGCCAAAGTCTCTTCTAGAGCCACGATAAGGACAAGGAGGAGACAGATTTTCTATTGGTGCTCTTCCAGTGGCTTGGGATTGTGAACTGCTGTTATCCCACAGCCATACAGCACCCATGCTCCACAACACCGGGCCTGGAGGGGGATGGAATGATCAAAAAAACCCAAAACCAAACAAATAGAAGATATTTAGGTATTTGTAAGAGAAAAACAGTCTCCAAAAACCACTTTTATCATGAGCATTTTTTAAAAGCTTTTTGTGAGAATAAAAGTAATGTAAAACAATACTGGGATTATATTACATTAAATATTTTTTATCTTCTGGTATTTCACAGCCTGAACCTCAAGGTCTCCAAAACTCTGATCTCATCCCCACAGAAGTCTGTGGGCTGCCCACACACAGAGCACACACCACCCACGGGTCAGCACCTCTGGTTTACTTCTGAAAAGCTTTTTGGCAGCGTGTTCCCCTGTGACAGACCTGGAGCTCCTCAGCCTGTCCCTGTCCAGGAGCTCGGCCCTGGGCTGCAGCATCACTCAGCTGGAGAGGGCAGGGTCCCCACGCCTGGCTGGGGGTCCCCACCCTGCCCACCCCCACATCCCAGCACACCCATCCTGGTCACAGCTACTGCAGCATCACGCTGCCTCCCTGCCAGCCAGAGGATGCACCCAGCCCTGGGATTTGGGATAAAATGGGATCCCTCCACTCCTTGTTTTGTGCAGGAGCTAATCACTCTCGAGGAGGAAGAAGGTGAAGGTGGGAGGGAAATGCTCTATGCTTCCCTGAGGATTTAAACCCACCCAGTAAAATAAGCTGAGGCTGGATGTGCTGGGCTGTACCTGGCAGATGTGCCGAGAGCTCCCTTGGAGCTGCTGCCCAAAAAGTCAAAGGAGTACCAGGATATGAAAGGTGAAAATACACCTGTTGGTGACAGTGGAAAAATAAAGTCCATATTTAAATGCACTTTTCATATTCATTCCCAGCACGTGAGGACAGACAAACCATACAATCCTCTGGCTGCATGCAGCCCTGCTCCTGCACATCCCTCCGGCAGCAGCCACCGGGTCCCACTGCCACCAACGTCACAGGAAAGCTCCTGCCACCTTCAGCTGGATGTCACCCCAGCTGTCCCAGCAGACAGAGGCATCCGGGCTGCCCTTACTCCATCCCCAGGCCAGCAGCTTTAGGAGAGGGGAAGCCCACCGAGGCTCAGTGAGCAGCCCAGGGAGAGCTCCCTGCCCTCCAGCACCCCTGGCACCATGCCCTGCTCTGGTAGAAGGAACCACAGCATTCTCTTGGTCTAGTGCTCCTTCTGCACTTTTCCTCCCCTCTTTCCGTCAAGACACAGTCAGAAAACTTTATTTACAGATATCTTAAGAATAAAAACTCCATGCCATAAGCATGACCTTGTGCGTTACAGAGCAAGAAAATTGCACTGGTGTGAAGAGGCAGCAATGCGATCGGTGGGAACCCAAAGCAAAGCCTGGCTCAGGGGACTCCACAGGGGTTCTCCTCTCACACCCCCAGTCCCACACGCCTGCTTCTCCTCTGAGAAGCTTTTGAGCACACTCAGCAACGTGTTATTGCACAGATCCCCTGGCCTGGCACTGGTGCACTGGTGCCCTCTGCCCCGGCCCCAGCACGCCCGTGTGGGCAGCCTCACGAGCACACGGAGCCCAGCCGGGGGTGGGGACACCCGGGCACCCCCCTGCCCCCCGGGAGGCCT